AGACACCGCTCTAGACGCTCTGCGGCCCAGTGCGTATGTTATCAATACAGAGACGAACGTTTAGGCTGAAATTTCTTGGGTAGGAAGGAGCTTCAATGTTGGATTTTGAGAAGATAAGCGATTTAATTTTCTAGTTTAAAAATGAGATATTCTTATTTCAGCTATGGAAGATTTGACTGAAGATCCGACTATATCTTGAGATGCCTCCATTACGACATTCATCCCTACCGCTGATGCGCCTCCTTCGGCGTCTATCCAGCGTTTCTAAACCTTGTCTACTACACAATCTACGTCTACATTAACTTTCAAGTAGTGGTGTAGTGCTTAGTTACTGAATATCTATGAAAGCATTAATACATCAAAAGAATTTCGTACTTATTTGTAACCCAGACAAGCCTTAATAAAGATCATTAGACTACGTATCTGACATAGAGGCAAATGTGGCGTAATTCCAAGCAGTTAATACGAAGCAGATGAATTTGTTGTACGAACGTGTCACAACGAACGAAATGTGGCGACTCAGTATTTACCGGCTGAAGATTCAGTCCCCAATTAATGGGCCATCATTTGGTTAACTAAGTTGTGAGGATCCACAGAATTATAATATGTAACTCTTGGTGTATGTATTCCGACTTTAGCTTGAAACGGTAAAACATGTTAAGTGGCGTAGCTTGAACCCCAAATGAGGGCAGATGAACGATAACCAGAGGCGGCGATCCATCGTGGCCTGGGACTGCTATGTCCCAAACAAATACTAAGGATACTAAGGAACCATAAACTAACTGCACGCTGAATACAAACGAACATGACACAGGTTCACACAACCACACTCAGATTTTACTGGAGCACATAACGTCGCTACAGCGCGAAACATATCCGATCATCTAGCGGACGTTGATAAATTAAGCTCAAGTGAGAATACCTAAGTAATGGTCTCAATACTGAAGAAGAATTTTCCCAGGATACCGGATGATTCAGGATAATTAGCGCTTATGTGGGTCCGCTTCTTATCCTTTGACTTAGAGTCTGTCAGCATGGTCGGGTGAAAACAGCCCGGCTTTCGCTGGAGCTAATCCTTTAGAACTCGGTTCATGGGGCGAGACTCGTAGCTGAAGACACTTCAGAGCATCGTGTGAAATGAACCAGAGCAGGTAAAGCTGTATTTTCCTTTTGTGACTGAAAGTTAGTTGTCCAAGGAAAACAACGCACATTCACATCACGTTCCATTCACGTACAGTAACTGTGATTCTCTACATAACCACGAGAACCGTTATATCTATTTAGATTAATGGTAGCAGATGCAAGCCATAATTTATGAATGTACTAAAAACTGAATGTGCTTAACGTTGAAACATATAAGCTGCATTGCTGCAAAATTGAAAACGAAAATATCAATGTTTTCTTAAAGCGATCTAAGCAATTCTCGAATAGCGGGCCATTCTTTGAGACGACTAGCACGAGTTATTGAGGATATCATTAAGATACTGGCGCTGATATTGAGTAATCGTGGACAAAAGCCCATCGGTAAAAGTGCTTCCAGTCACACACTATGGTAATAAATTTACTCTGAATTAGATTTCAAATGATTTAGCATCAAATAGTACGAAACTCATGAATCAAATTTGAAGTAACATTTGAAGATATTTGATTGGAACTCAATAATCAATACGTACTTAACAAATTATAGCAATCAAATGTATCGAAAAAAGAAAGGAACTGAACTGCTGCACTGCGATGGTCTGAAGACAGAACGCCTGAAGGAAATTGAGAGAAAGCAGCACATGCAACGAAACGCAAATTAATCAGTAAAAAAACAACAGCTGGCCTAGCAGAAATGAGAGCTGAAGGCAAAGCAGAAAAATCAACCGCACTTGCCAAATTTTGCAGTTGGATAGAATTACAAATTGTATATTTGAGGTGGAAGTATACGTAAGTTCTCGCTTCTTTTCAAAACTGTTAATAAACTGTCAGCTGGAGGAAGAACATGTAAATGTTCGTTTTTTCTTTCAAAACAATTGATTAACTGCCAGCAAAATAATTACATAATCACAAAAAAATCAGTGCACGAAACCGTTCATAATCTAAAAAACAAAGAGGCAGAGTAATAGTTTGGTTCCCATCACGGGCAACGATTTCCCATATAAATTTGCCAGTATTGGCAATTTATACTTGCATTGGAGAACTTCAAATGGTTTTAATTTGCAAGCCTGATTAAAAATCGACAATATTAAAGTATATATACACAAGCGTATAAATTGGATTATACACACGCTATTTTAACGTGGTCTGGCAGAAGGGCAATGAGCAGAGGGTAGCGTGGTAGTGCGTAGCACCGATACAGGGCATCGCCTTATCAAGCGGCATCCGGTGCCACGGATGCCTCAGTTCACTCTTGAGCCGACACACACAATGCCAGCGATGCTTTTGATTTCGTTAACTTAATAATGACCAAACTTTAAGTTCAGAGATCTCTAGAGGACGATTTGAACATCGTACCCAAAATATGTCTCTCAAACTAGATGTTTCAACAACAAAACAGTAGTCGAGTCACAAATTGGCTAAATTCAAACTATTGACTATTAGGCTAAATACAAACGCTCATTTTAGATAATGATAACAAATGTGCGCAATGGCAACGAATTCAGCGAAAGTGGATTTGTGATATCGACTTGATCTTGATAATGAGATGAACTAATTTATGTCTGTAAACTTGCCAAAAATAACCATGCAGCGAAATGAAACGTAAAAGTAATAGCAACTGCGTGGGTATTCGTCGGTTAGATTGCTAGCAATAGAAATCGATATTAAGTATAACAGTTTAGCATGACATTGACCGCTAGAAATTGATTAGAAAAATAAATGATGAAGCACGAAAATAAAGCATGGTATCACCGAAACGTCATTGAACAATAATTATAAATAACCTCATTATATCAAAATACAGTGATAAACGTAATCGATTTTGATTTACCGCATCGTAATGTAATTAAAATCACATCGTGGTACATAACCAGCTCGTCGACACGGACAAGATACGTAACCCGCATCACTTTCACATCGGTGCATCAAACTTAAGCGCAGCGATATGTTGACGTCTGCAGAAAATCTGGACATGATTCAACTAGAATCGAATGAGGAACGTGAATATTGGGCTGTTGTTAGCTTTTGTTGAAATGCGATAAATTTAGTTTGTTTATGTATTCCTACTCGTTTTCCTAACCATGCCGCGGATCTTCATAAAAAGATTCACCATCTAAAATCACACCATAATAAACGACATCCTCAAAAGCAAGAAATTTAAAACAATGATTATTTTTCTTTAATGTTAGGAACAGCAGGTTGATTTTTGACGAGTTCGAAAAGTTTGTCTCAGTAGTATGTTTTCGAATTTCAATATGAGAAAAAGGTAACAAATATAAGGTTTACCTTATATAACAAATACAAGGTATCTTTACCCATTAGAGTTTTTTTTATCAAGTCTAATGACGTAAGCAAACGAGGCAGAATTAATTCTCATTTCATAGGATACATGCAAAGCAAATATCGTAAAAGGAAAAGTACAAGTGAAACCTTAACCTAAACCCGAAACACAAGGAAAAGCATAAGTGAAACCTAAATCCGAAGAATGTTTTTTATAAATGACAAACGAAAGATAAGACGATACCAGCCAGACAGCTGTATAGGACGTCGGCAAAATACACTGAGGGCCACGCCAAGAATGCTCGGCATTCAAGTTGAAACAGATGGTTCTCAGGAAGCTCCAATTGGAGGCCTGTGAGCTCTAAACAGGGGCACACGCGCCTGCTCTATGGCCACTGGCCTGTATAGTGCAGCAAAAGCTTGTACTTCATAGCTGCAGTTCATTAGCCTCACTGGATTGCAACACTAGCCTAGAAGTAAGCAGTGGCAAATACTGATTTGCAATTAATGTTACTGCACCATGTACAAAAAAAGGACTCCAGCATCATTGGATGATGATAACCAAGTCTTCGATACATTGAAGCGACAGAAGTAGTCGTTGAATAACTGCTGATAGTTGTTTCAACACGGGTAGCCATAGAATATTATAAGTAATCACTTTATTTATATCTCTTTCAACAATCAAGTAATAATCAAACAAGTAGCAGAAAAGAGACCTTTACACTGACAGCAGTAGAACGAAGTCATCAATGGCAGCTATTAAACTTTCGTTTTCCATGGAAGTATCGATTGACCACAAGCCTCAATAGCTAACGTAAAAAATCGCAAGTGCAAGCGAGTGAGAGGTCAACTCAAAACACAATCCCGCTCCTTGTATAGGCTGCTTGCGAGGCTTTGACCCAAGCAAGTTCGACGAGACTGCATGTTGGTCATGAGGGCAGTTGCTTATGCAACATCTTACACCACCAACATTATTCAGCATTTTTTCATTCGCAGCCTACCAGCTGTTTTTTTTTTGCTACCAGAAAAACGATGTGATTTTAGCGTAAAATGAATAGAATTTGCGACGATATGACGCTGTTTAAGAATTTTATTTATTTAACTTGAATGCATTCTAGCATAGAGTTGCCCATCCATCATATATTTATTGCTAAATCTGCAGGATCTTCAAGCATAGAACGTATGAACATCGGCTTTGCACGTCAACAAACTATAAGCAAACGCGATATTCGCTCAAAAAGTGGCAGGGTTGCGAAAATTGGCTTGATTGTCGCATCGAAAGAAAAACAATAAGCGAATAGAAGAGCAGAGCTGCTATCACGAGTCGTTTGATTTTTCTGATTTTTCTATTATGCTCACCAAGAGCAACATGTAGTAAATTTAATTCTACGATTTGAGCCTAATAAAAAGCAGGGTAAAGTCACAATAAACAAGGACGATAAATGCTCTGGTATAAAACAAGCTTTGACTTTTTCCATTTTAAGCGGGTGTAAATGAATTAATGTGTTTTTGACACATGAAATAGTTCGAAAATGTTAACCCTTTAAATAATAAAAAGCACGAGAAAATACTGAACTTGCCTGAGACTCTTGGCGTAGTCTGCCTCGATGGTGGAGCGCTCCTTGACGAAGCGACCGTAGGTCTCCAGGAAGTCGATCCCTTTCTGGGAGTGCGAACTCACCGAATCCCATTGGTCCTGTAAGAGAAAATATATATAAAATCGATTTTCATTTTCTATGAATCTATTTTTGTAGATTTAATGTAATCAAGTTATAAGTTAGATTCGTTTATAACTTTAATTAAATGCTCTAAATAATTATCTTCACGAAGTAGATAACTATCGTGTAATAGAAGAGAACGACCTGCCTCGATTAAAAAACAATGATATTGCTAATAGTTATTTCATGAAAAAGTGTATCCAGCACAGCCTTCCTGTTTACCATAGCGACAAACGTAATTTTTTGCATCATCATTTGCATGGTTGAACACAAGAAAAGTTTGCGCGACATGCATCATTGAATTACCGGGCAGTAAGAATATTTTTAGATGCAACAGCTTGCATCAAGTTAAGCATCATTGACCACGCCAACGTAAACAGAATACAAGTCCTGCGTGAACGTTGACTGCGCCTAAACAGACGACAGTACTCGCGCCAATGAGAATTCATGCAGCGCAGAAAATAATTCCTCATCTTAATTGAAACTCTCACATTATTTGTTTTCTTGGAACAGAAAGCATTCCACGTCATATCATGAACGAACACACTAAGCGGCCTTTTTCACTTCATAGTGAATGAAACCAAATCGACTAAAAAATATAAGTTCAAGAAATATCAACACGCAACATCCTATATTTTCTGGCTTTGCGAAAGCTATTTTTGAAGAACATGAAACACTTTGTTCGATGATGCACGAAGCATTCACGAAAAATTAACGAACTAAAATAATATCGTAAATGGATTGAATCAGGGCTATGAAACCATCTTTTTGACAATTGTTTAAACGATGACCATAAAGACGAAGCTTGAGAATGAGAAACCTAACCAATAAGATAGTAAAGAGACACGAGAGGTGACCACTGCATACAAGGAAATGCTTTGAACGCGTAAAAAGAGCGAATATAAAAAAAACAAATCGTGCTATCGTGTAACTGTATCTGTATCGGCTTTCATTTAAGCGCGATTATTACAATACAACAATCAGTTTGACAGCGGGTGTTTATAAATGAACGAAATTGGAAATTCGCGGACACAAGATCGTAAAGTTTTCAGACGCATGCGGTAGACGGCCACAGCAGGCATGCGCATGTTCCTCATTGGCGAAGAACAAATTAATCCAAGCTCCATAATTAATCACAAAAATGAATAAGATAAATCCCATGCGAGATCTTGTCTTCATCTTTTTTATACTACCCAGGCTTGACGCAACAGGCAAGTCGCGAGTTGAAACTGCATTAGTTCTCGCAAAATCCAATTCAATGTATGACACTATGCGACAGCGATTACATATATATGATGAATAATTTCCAAAATATAAACCAAATGTGTGGTCAGGCCATTACCAGATAATGGCTATAACGTGACTCCTGCACCTCAATTAGTGACGACTCCACCTGCGTGAACTGCGGTAATAGACACTGGATCCGGGCGAGTGATCGGCTGCACTTATTCTGTAGTATAAAAAATACTCAAAAAATAAATTGCCGCATTGGTCAATTCAAAGGGAAACGAGTGCAACAAATAATGACGCATTTTTCAAGCGGAAAGCCGATAGAAAATAATACGAGTGGGTTGTAATGTAGAGTACGATACAGTAGTTTCCAGAGTTCCGGAGCGTAGTAACGCATGTGGACTAAAAGGCATTTGTTTTCAAGCTTCAGTCACGGCAGCAATGTAAACAATCCCTCAATTTAAGGTGCATTGCAAAGCTAGGAAATCCAACAAACGATTGAATTAGAATAACCATGACTACCAATGAATACAAGCAGGGAATGTTGGTATAAGGCGGGTTATAGTAGATCAGTATGTGTAAGGCAAAACATATTTTTTAATAATTAATTTCAAGACTTTTTGGTGCCAGAAGCACCTCCCAGCCAGGTCCCTCTCAAGGATGGAAGAGCATAGTAGAGCACATCAGCAGCTGAGAACAGCAGCGCATAGCACAGTAGAGCAAAACTGCAGCTCAGAGCTGTAAGCACATAGCAGCAGCGCAAAGCATAGTAGAGCATACATATCAGCAGCTCAGCAGAGCTGCAGGCGCTGCAGTGAGTCAGCAAGCAGTGCGTAGGCTCCAGGCAGCGTCAGCCAGTCGCCTCCAGTTGAGTCAGCGCTGCGATGACGCGGTTGGTGTCATGGAAACCACCGGCATCTGTAATCTTTGCCGCTGCTGGCTACGATTGTAACTAATAATCCTGAACATAACATGCCAGCTTAAAAAAATAATTCGATTAATAATTGAAATGTATCGTAATTTTTATCGAATAATTCTCTCAATGTGATAGAACAGGATTTATGTGCATTTGCTATTGAATAAACGCAAGAGTGAACAAGACACTTCCATATTAACGACCGAGAGAAGCGCTCTCAACAAAACTAAGCGCGACAAGGGCGCGTTCCGATAATGTGACCTGACACTCAACCGTCGTCGTGGTAAGTGCTTTGCTCTTATACAAACTCCATGTGCTAAATCATGGCAATTGTATCGGTGGCCGACAATGGCACGTCTGCACTTCTGTTATCATTTTAAACGGAGCTGCACTTGGAACAGCGACCGTCGTTCCGTTACAATCCCGAGACTTCGAAGCAGAATTACTCAGTGATTAATGTAAAATTGCAGGGGTGTCGTGTAGTAGAAGGAAGAATTATGAACGTTCCGATAGTTAACGAGGACCTTGTTAGAATAAGGTCACGGTCATGAGTAAAGTATCAAGGAAGAAGTCTTGTATAGAAACTTACAACATTAATTAAAATGTTGACATTAAATAATGCTTATAGATGACGACACTAAAGTCTTTATGAAGTACTACTAAAACCAGTGCATTCGTTCAATTTGACTTCATAGAACAAACTTAAAACTAAGATTTAACGCAAATACTAATGATGACATTGTCAAATGGTATGATAACCGGGCTGAAATGTATGAACTTAAATTCAGTTCTTCGAATATCTTGTACTTCTTCCTTTTTTACAATAATATTTTACAGGAATCTCTACGGGACAATACAGTTTTGAGGTACGCGTTATTTACCGCTCCAGTGGAGCAAGGCAGTTCACGGCAGTTGTTAAATATAAGTGTAAGTCCGTTTCGGATGTTATTGCCAGAGTTAGATGCGTAGTAGTCAACTTTAAAAAATAGTAATAATAATAAATAAACGTTAATAGATGAAAACTATATTCTCAGTTTATAATTATTTTGTATTGGAGCATTGAATAGTATTCATAGACATTTCATTTGGATTAAATAAATCTTCAACGCTAAAAAATTCAAATGAACAGAGAATTTAACAACGGCGTGTTGACGGAACACTGAAGAAGGAAATCATAATATACGTATCAATGAAAATATAAATATTAGAGAATCACATGATATAGACACATGTCGCCTCGAAACTCTCGTAACATCTCTAAGAATAAACATTTAACGTAAATGAAACCCATCTGAAAGCACAGCACCGGAACACGTAGCTGAGTCACGCGTTTCCGGTGCAAGCGGGAGCGATGCTTCACATGCAGCCTGCATCGATATAGCCGGCACACGGAAAAAAGGCCGATGTAAAGCCTACATTTAAAGAGACATTGAACCTAATGTGAATTTGCTGAACTGCGCAAAAATTGCGAAAATCGACTCATCTTAACGGGGTCACAATGTTATTTTCTACGCGTCTATGCATGGTTATAATATTTGAAAAAAACAATCAGTTTCTAACCTTAAACCTAAGTAAAAATAGAAGACTAACAAGTATTCAGATACAGTCAACAGCAAAGGAAACTAAAATGAAAAATTAATACTATGCTTGCAAAATAACATGAGAAAGAAGACCAAATACAACGAATTCCAAACAATTATGACGTCAAGATGACATGGGTTGGTTTCGACACTCGATCAAATTCCGAGAAAAATATTGATAAGCACCGACGAAAATCGTCAATCTCACGCATCGGCAGCGAGAGAAAATCATACAATCGTGCACGTGCTCTATGCATAGAACACAAACGGTAAACTGCGACTCCTAATTTAAACCCTGCGGACACGGACTCTTGCAGATCATCTTCTTTGGGAACTGGGCCATGAAATTGTCTCGTGAACTTTCCATAGCTGCCTCTCCTTCAATGAGCAGTGAATAAGTCCTCCGGGAAATCCAGTGCATGGTCTATAAAAAATAAATGTTCCTGTTAAATATTTGACGAATTGCGTGTTGAAGTCACCCAATTTATAGTTAATTATGGTTACACTTCACACATATAAACAGAATATTCTCCTTTTTTCTAAAAATAGATTTCAACAGGTTATTCATCGCTGTACAGTTCCAACCAATGCAATGAAGAGAGCCTGTCAACAGATTAGTTGCTACAGTTTGAAGGTTTATTCGAATTTAAATTACACGAGCATATAATTTGAAGCTATTCACAGCACTTGTGAGAAGATGCCTGGACGAAAACAGTGTGATTTTTCAACCTACTCTGTTAGAAAACTGAGTACAATAAGAAAGGCTACCGCCACCATCAATGAGTTACCTCAAAAAAATTCGACGCTTACATTGAAAGAACTGCAGGTTTTTGTCGACAATTTGCCGGCGTAAAATAAATTTTTGCTGCAATTGTCTGAATATCAATGGCCGGAACTTTTTTTACTATGCCTGAGATCTAATATTTGCGGTCTATGCAAAGCATACACAAATAAATATCTCATGGACTTTGCTATAGTATAGGTTCACATCAAACAAAATTTATTTATTACAAAAGAGATGCACCTATTGAAATTTACCGCCTATCAAATAAAAACTGATAATTTCGGAGAGGTGAGTTCAGTTCTAAGAACAAGCGGATTTCCGATCCTGAAGATAGTGGCAAAGAAGTCTCACACACATGATGACACATCTATACAGTAAATATAAATAAGTATAAATAAGGTAACTCGCGATGCAATATGAATACAGTAAGACAAATTAATTTAAACGAATGACACAAATTTCCATTTT